TTGGTGTATATGTCACTACATCGGTTTAAACGAAAACTATTGTTAAACATCCGAAACTTGTTATTGGATTTTGTCCAACTGTTAAACAACTTTTTTTTAATCTCACACAATAAGATTGCAGCAAATGAAATTCAACTTTTAAAGTTAACAGCTTCCCAGTTTGCTACTCATGTAGTTTCGACCAATTCTACTTCGCCCGCTCTTTGCAAAGCTAAAACGCTCCAACACATTTGAAAGTGATTAAAGTTAAATCAATTTTAGGAACTGGGTATTTTATTTGCTCGGAGAGAACTCAAGTGTTGAGGACTTAAATTGGTATACACATAGTTACAGTTAGTTAAGTAGTCATATTCCTGTGATGAATTTGAAATCAGTATCTATAAAAAAGTATATACTTAATAATAAATAAATGAGTTAAACTCAAATATATGAGTAGAAAAGGGCGGAGTCATAAGTGCATGTAATTGAAAGATAATAAACATCATGAACAAGTTGTCTTGTTTGGCTCACACATCAAACGGAAAACTGCAAAAAACTCGTTTCTCAACTGATTTAAATATGAATGAATTAGGTAATTGTAAATATGTTTGATTTACAGTTAAAGCAAATTACTGATCAATTACAAATCGTAACTTAGCAAGCAATATTCTAGAAAATATTTAAGCAATAAGTGAAAACATGCCATTTTCCTTATACTGCGTCCATACTAAACTAGCTTTTTGCAAACATTAAGAATGTTTAATGTAATTGGGCTCCAGCCATTAATCACGATTGAGGATTTACTGCGTTCAATTCAAAGCCTGTCAACAATATGGTTCCTAATGTAGTTGAAATATCACAGACGAAGCCATAAAGCGTAATTATCTCCATCATTCTAGTGCAGCTCAGGCCATGCTAATAATTTATAGAGCAAGCCTGATTTGATTTCCAGAATTTACGCTCTCCATGTATATCATGGTGCCGACTCATAATTTTCAAATTAGTTACTTTATAGCTTGGACATTAATTCGTTGAGAGTGTGAAGTTTTGGAAAGTTATGGCAATCAAAAAGCTTGATTTAAACGATGCAATAAATTATCTAAAATACGAGTAATCGCAAAGCATGAAGTGAAATTCAAGTAGAGTTAAATTGGTCATTTGGAAGAGTTTTAAAAGCCCATTTGTTTGTTAAAAACTAACTAAACATAATATATCTAATGCCCAAGTAATCCACATTAAATAAATCAGAAAAAATGGTTTTTATTAAATTTTGCTGCCCAAATTATTTAATTTAGTACAGCCGCTTGTTGAGTGGAAAATAATTCGAGCTCCTAAGGTGCGCAAGTAAAAAAAATACGGCAATCTACATTTTATTTTCAACAGCCAGGCCGTGAATATGAATATTCATTATTCCTTTGTCGAGAACGTCAGGGGGCCCGGAATAAAATTTTTAAGAGGCTCTTTTAGGTGCTAAGAAATAAAAAGATGTGACTTGAATCCCAAGCAGTTTCCTAAACGAGATGTTTGTTGTATGTTCTCATCCTCAGCTTCAGGGCAAATTGCAGGAGAGGCTGACGTAATTTATGATGAAAGAAAATTTAGGGACCATATGCATGCGTAGTTAAATTTTAAGCAAATTATAGAGAATATCAAAGAAGTTGGGCTGCCGCGGCCATTGCGTGAACCTGGTGAATTTGCAGGTTTACAGGCTGCAATGGAAAATAATTTGTTGCTGAGGTTTTGCAAAAACCAGTAACTTACATCTTCAGATGTGGTTGCGCCACCAATAGTATCTTTGAAACACATTTTGCTGTTTAAATTATTTAGAACGGGCGGGTTTGTAGACGTTAATGCTCATATTTTTAACACCCTGTATGATGAAACACCAGAAAAATATTTTTGATTACGATGAAATGAACCCTTGCAACTTGTATAGAAAAATGAAAATCTGGAGATGTTTCAATCTATGGTTGAACCAACATTTTCACATTTATCGGTTGATCAACTAACACCAAACGCTCTCTATAACTTGGTACGATTCATTTGATTTTTTATATTTTTATTGTACAATTCAATTTTCGCCAAACCACTAACTACTTGAGAAAATAGCAATTCTAATGTCATATTTGAGAATTTCAGACAATTTTAGTTCAAAATGGGTAGCAGTCGATGGGAATTTTTTACAGAAAAAACATTTTTTTTCCTAGAGTAGTAATTTTATTCGGAAAACTATCCTTTCTATTTGCGGCTTATTTTATGACCAATTTGCCCAAAAAGACGATACTGCAATCATAATACAGCAACTTGCAAAAATGTTACCCTGAACGTCGCTTGCTCACATTTAGTTAAGCAATGAAAGATCTGACACCACTTTCTGTTCGCTTTAAGCCACTTGAGTGTGAAAGTAACTGGCGCATTTTAAAGGGCGAAGTGCGACTATTCAATGTTTAACGTGAAAATGTTTTCATCGAAAAAGAAATCAACGAATGCAACTTTTAATTTGTCTGCATTGGTTTTTGCAATCACAAACCGGGCAGCACGTACCTTGAGACAATTTTTTGGGTCAACATTGTAAATTTTCAACAACGGCCTAAAAGCCCGAAATAATATCCAGTTTCTATATAATATAGTTTTCCTTAGGAATAATTTTGACGCTAGAATTTTTCAAATACTGTAAACTGAATCTGAGAAGAAAAAAATTATTTATTTGTTTAAACAATTTTTGGTGTTTTTCCTGCCGCCCACATCCTATTTGAGGAAATGGAATAATCGAATCAATAAAACTTAACAACGAAGATTTCAACCAATTGTAAAAATTAAGCAAACAAGTTAAAATATTAACTTAACATCATAATGAAAATATAAGTTGAAACTACTAGTTAATTTGGACATAATGTTCTCTTAACACCGCTATTTATCCGAGTATTCAATATTGAGACTTTAAAGTTGATCATAAAACGAATAGGAAAAGATCGAATAATTAAAGAAAAAAAAAAGCAAATATCGAACTAAAGCAGTTTGCAGTAAAAAGCCATGTTTCAAAGCAGATCAAAAAATATAGTTTAAATGGAACTTAGGTTTAAATATAAACAACCTAAAGGCCATTACACTTAAAAACTCTTTTGAAACAAAAAATAGTGTGTTGGTGCATTTCAAATACTTCATTAACTTGGCTGAAACCAATAAAAACAAATCCCGAATGTTGAATAAATAATAGAATATTCTATATTTAACAACAAATGTAGTAAAAGCGATCGTCGGTTTAAATAATACAGAAATTTGCATGATTGCAAACGATTCACTTGTTGTTGCATTTCGGATATTACTTCAACATACCAAATTGTCGATAAAATGCACTCAAATATTTGAAATGGTAAAAAGTGTTAGTTACAGTTGGAAGAATGACAATTGTAATAAAACATTTGAAAGACACCAGTTGTTTGAAAACAATTTGTCCAATAAAAAGCAGAAGTTTATTAGATTTAAACACAGAAAAGAGAATTTAGTATATCAAAATATAATAAATGTTTATAATTTCTTTATTGCCAAGTTCCCGAAAATAATTCAGGATTGATGAGGTTTTAAAAAACTTAGCATTAAAATCTTCAGTTAATACGGCTTATTTTTGCATACTAACCCGATCTCGGTTTCCCAATATATGACTAGCAAACCCAATCATATTAAAACCCCATTACTATGACAAAGGGCAATTTTCAGAACAATTTCAGGGTTTTAATATATTCCATCATTAATAAAGTCCTGTGTTGTCCTAAAACGAAATGACTTATAGCGGACCGTCCTGCTTTGAGCATTATAAAATCTCATAATTTCACTGTATAACGAGTTTATATTAAAAGGGCTGATACAATAGAGTTTTGCATAATTAATTCTAGTTAAGCTTTTGTGTCCTGTGTAGGAATACCTACACAACGATGCAAAACGAAAAAATAAAATTTAATGGAGAGCCGAGTGTGAGGCATAATTATCCCGATGAACGTGTTGAATCTTTTTAAAGAACTTGGGAATTTTCGCTTATATTGTTTTACTAGGCTGTGAGTAGCTGTAGAGTATGTTTTTAAAAGAATTAAATTGTACGTAATCACTTTTTTAATGTTTTTGCTACCTCCGTATGCATAATTAGATTTTTCAGTCTGGTAGAACTGTTTGTTTTTCTTTTTGCTACTTGTGGCTTTATAATTTAATTTTTTTCGCTTTCTGAAAACTGATTACCAGGATTAGGAAAGCCAGGGCTCTGAATAGCTAAAACTCATTTCATTTGTAGAGATTAAGTTTTAAACCGTGTTTGAAGGGATGGAATCTTCATAATGCCCACCTAAGTTGGCCTTGTAAAATGATGGCTTTTGAAGAAGCTTTTCATGTTCGAACAGTGACTAATCCAGTTTCAACAAATAAAGTTGGCAATTAATTAACTGTATCTCTAAACTATAACCAGAGCGAGCATTGCCTCTATAATAGGCTTATTCGCTAACACATCCCTATACAAAAAGCTTTTAGAAGTTTTACATTGTTAGCCCTTTAAACGTGGTACCAAAGTTTAGCGGAAAATTGAGCAAATTAATTACGACCGCATTTTCACGCCTCCGGTCTCATTTGCAAAGTTTGTCTAGCCATATTTCGGTATAGGCGTCCATAGTTAGAATGCTTTGTGTTAACGTGATGAACCTATTATTTTAAGGTGCGGTTTATATGGTTTTCGTCTAACTTAACAATAAGGATTATTTGGGAACATTGATTAATTAGCCATGATGCTCCAGGAAAATTACACACCCGTTTGAGACCCACGATTATACCGGATCTAAGAAAGTTAATTAACTACAATAGAATCAATCTGATGAAATCCTGGAATAATTAGTCGCGTATAAATCTGATAGAAATAGAAAATGAGACCCAGTTTCATTATATCCGCAACATATTTACGAATAAGTAATTGAAATTAATACACTTGAATAAAGTACTAAATTTACTAAATAAATAGTTTAACTCGCAACTTTTTTGTTTAGAAAACAGACGTTGCTATCCCGGATGCAACCACACTTCTGTTGGAGCTCTTGTCCAAGATAGTTACGTATCCAGACCGGTGGAGGAAAGTTCATGAAATGTTAAGTAAGTATCTAAATGCAACACCAAAAGAATCAAGGAACAATGATTAAAAATTGATTGATTGAAGACATAGTCAGCGATAGAAAAGTATTTATTTAACCCCACAAGAAAATTCATGAAGGTCCAAAACTTCCAGAGTATGTCTGTTTCTTGAAGTTTTATTCCACTAAATGGCAAAACCGCATGTTCAGATGTCGATCCCGATTTCATTCGCAGCGTAGTTTCATTTCATCCGTCTTGGTTTTGCAGATTTAGCGAAAAAATGATTGATGACTTTTGAGTTTCTTCTCATAGAAGTTCAAACTTAACTGCTAGAATCATTCGTCATATTAGTTTTAAATAAATGTACTGCTTTCTTCTGTCTGTAACTTTAAATCACTACCACGTAAATACGCATGTATTGTTCTATTAATTAATGTTTGAACTGGAGGCGAAGATGACACATCCATATTAACCTGCCCATTAACCTGAATTTTATTAAATCAATTAAAGTGATGACCAAAAAACGTCCTGGCAGTGAGCAAATAACTGTTAGTCTGAGCTAAGATGGAATCAATTGCGCTTATCGAAAAAGATCCACCAGAAAACATTAACAACGGCGACATTAAATATTTCAAATCTGATTCGGTTTCAAGTAAAGAAAGTGTTTTCGTTCAAAAGTGTTACCCGGGATTACCATATTTCCAGAATGTTTTAAGCCTATTGGGGATTATAGTCATTTTTGTGATCATGTTAGTCCTCTTAAGTCGGATGCTCACACCAACTCCAAGAGAATAAAGACTAAATTCATTAGCGAACTGGTAATCAACGTCATTTTATAAAAGCTGCGAAAAAGTAGAGCTGAAGAGCTAATTACTAGTGCTGTCAGTTTCAAATTGAACAAATGTTGCATTTAATAAACCTCCTTTATGTTTGCAGAAAATGTTCGCTTCGTAAATGGACAAACATTCTACATTTCAAAAAATGCCATTTAATAATACAATATTTTTGTATCGCAGGAACTTTGGATGAAGACTTGAACAGTTCGCACAACATTTTAAGAAATCATCAACTTCAACAAAAACTTAGACCCGAAATCAGTGACATGAAAAGAAACTATAATGTGGCTCACAGTAAATGGAAAGAAGATAGTGCAGAGACAACGACCCACAAATGGCCAACATTTGACGATATCCAAGACACAACCAGTAGGGGCATAGAGAAAATTGAGACGACACATAAAAAGGACGAAAAATACAACGACAAAACATATCAGAAGAATTTTGCATATCACAAAGTAACAGGTAAATAAGTGCATATAATTATAAAAACTAGCCGATTTTCGTTTAACTTATTGAATGCATACCACCTTTGTTTTATACTCAATCAAGTGAAGCATCAAAAACTGTTTAAATCAGAAAGAAAAGTTCACCATATAACAACAAAAAACTTATTACTCAAATACTTGGCACCCAATTAGTTAAAACAATTTTACTGGAATAAACAGGATGAATTAAATAAAATAATAATTTTCTATTTCAGAAACACAATCATATTTAAAAATTATCGCTAATTTTCAGACAACAGAAAATGGTAAAAATTGGTGAATTTTTCGCGAATGAATGGTCTAAAGGCCGGAAAAACTATTTAGCTTTAAAGCAATGACCGCAAAATCCGAACTCAGAAATGGATGACCCTGTTATTTATAAGACATTTTCCGTCCAGTTCTTGTTACGTTCCCAGAGCTATAATACATACATGTTTAAAGTGTGAAAATTACAGGTAAACCAACGCATTTAAAAAAAAATCCGACGGCTTACATAGCAGTGTCGGCGATATCTCCGAAACCATCAGAATCCGAAGAGGACTTTCTATTGGAAACTGAATTACATCAACTGAAACCTTGGAAAAATAAACATTTTGGGAACACAGTCTAAAAGAGTTTATCATAATATGTGTTGCTCCGTGTTTTTTAGACATAGATAAAGTACGAAAGGAGGTTTATTACAAAATATTCAATTGCCAACATATTCATTTAACTATGCATTTACCGATGGGCCATTACAATTCCGATTCAAAATCAGTTCCTAAACCAACAATTTCTAATAAGCCTCCAACGAAATGTGTAGACGCTGTTGTAGAAAAAGATCCTATATTTTTTAATATTGAAAATACTCATAGTATTTTTGTATCACCCGGTAGTAATTTAGGTGTTAGAACAAAAAGGGCGTCAAACTGTCGCTCGGCGAGCTTGTACGGCGACGGTTTTTACAAAATGCGAGAGACGAGCTTTGTTTCGAAATAACTGGAAAGCAACATTACATTAAGCCGGACAATAGCAGCTAAATTTCCTACTTCAAAAGCTTTGTCTGTTCTCTCGCGTCTGTTGGCGAATTAAATTTATTTAGTACCAATGTTAAAATGAAAGAGTGGGTGTCCATTTGAAGCTCTGGAACAAAGTAGCAGTTGAAATGGGAATTTCTTATTTGGCCACCTTCATTATTCATTTTCCAGTTGAGTAATGTTTGAATGCGACCACATCACCAATATTTTGAAAGTTGATAACACTACTTAAAACTTGTTATTTGCTGTTCAGTTAAATTTTGCCTTTATAAATTATCTGAGATTAAAAGACTTAAAACAGCAAATCGGAAAAATGATGGAAAGGAAATTCGAATGCATATTATTCAGTTTACTAGCTTATGTACGGGCGTTAAATCATATTAATTATATAAAATGATATCCAGACAGTTATAGCCATTAATTCTTTAAGGATACAAGTATAGATATTTGGGTATGTCAAGCAAGCACTCAAAGGACCATTTTCCTCATTTCAGTCGTCATCAACTTGGCTTAGCTTGCAAATAACATATCTAGCAAGCTTTTAAAACTGCGTAATGTCAATACATTTATTTTTGTTTTCATGTTTGAGCATTTATGCTCCTACTTACAGCCCTATACTTAGCAATTTCTGTTTGTTTATGGCCAAACACAGCAGGCGAATGATCTTGTAAGTACATATATAGGGTGAACAGTACCATGCTAGCAAAAAATACGGAATCCTTATGGACATTATTACGCTGATCATATGGGGGCATTCATAATTATTTACCTTACATCGACTTGTTTGCGTGAGTAACTGCTTGCACTAAATAAATTAGGAATCAGTTTCTAAATAACCAGTCAAGAAAATCAAAGGAAACATTCAGGTATCTACTACCAACCTACCTACCAAACTAACCCAAACCAACAATCGTTTAAAAACAAAAAAGATACAAGAAAACCTACATAAATAATCATCTACAACTTACAAAATTAATATTATTAAACTGTTCCACTTTTAGTCAGTTTTGAATATTACTCAACAGCAAAAGCACCGTTTCAATAACACAATTTTAAACTTGAACAAGTTGTGCAATTAAAATCTGAAAAAGAAATACTGATTTTCGTGTACCTATGTATGTATGTATGTATGTGTTCGAAAGTTCCTGTTATGGCTGCTACCCAAATGCGGGTCTTTTCTTCAAAGGAAATAAAACGTGATTAAATTCATATCAGCAAACCGTTTTGATTCAATAATTGGAAGGATGGATTGTGTGTGAAATGCATGGAAAGTACATATTCAGAATGGATTCATGTAATTGATTTCAATTAGTAACTGTGTATATATCAAGTAATGTACATTTTTGTATATTAGAAAGTAGATAGATTAAAATATAGCGATCTGTGAAATATGTTAATTTAGTACTTACGCTGTAACTCAAATCGGAATTCATTTCGCACCTTGTGGCATAGCAGAACGCATTGTAATACTTGTAAAAATAAACCTTTTAATTGAAGTTGCAATACAGTGTAACGCTTGGTATAATTCTATGCCTTATAGGAAATAGCGTGAACCTTTACAACTCATGTGCATTTTAAGATATACTTTTTAAATAATTGATGCTCCGTAGAAAATGAATTATCAGCAAATGTCATGTTTGTGTTTGTGCAAATGCCCGTTTGCTTAAAAAGTAATTTGCAGTTGTAAGCGATAGCCGATTTACAATTTTAACGAGTGTAATTTGTGTTCTGAAGTAATGTAAACAACTGTTGTAAACCAACCACTTTAGAGAGATGTACCTATGTAGACTCTAAACTTTGATTATACCAGTTTTGTAAATAAAGAACATTTTAAGAAATAGTGGTTTAAATAGTAGGGATCCATTGAAGAAGAACAACTAGCAGATGCTGTTTAACTTACCACACTTAACTAACTGAGGAAGTGGCATTATTTTAACCAGTAGGTTCGAAAATACTTCGGTGCGGATTTACAGGGAATTGAAATTTAATTTAAAAAAATGCAAATTCGGTTTTTTTTTAAAACGCATGGAGATATTTTTAGTTTTCCAAGGATCAAAAAAATGCAACATATTTTTTATTATACAATTAAACAAGGAATTTGAAAAGTATGTATTCGCAATAATTAAAAAATACAGTGGCGTACCATTTTTTTTCTTTAACAAATTCGGTAGCGTGCAGGTACCCACGCTATTCGCACAAATTAACCAATTTGAAAAGATACTCTGTGATTCCTGGAAAATTTCGTTAAACTATCGTCATGCGTTTTAAATAAAATTTATAATTTTATACTTTTTTATTTAACTTTCAACACCTTGTAAATCCGTAACGAAGCATTTTTGGACTAACGTTTATAAAGCAAACTAGGTCAATTTTCGGATGTAGAATGCGTGGCTACAGTAATGTCCCTTCCTCATCAAACACCTTGTATGTATAGTAAGTCATTACTGAAAAATTAAAAAACCTTCGGGTCTTCAGACATATAATTTCATCAATCACCCTTTAACAACAAAAATACCTATTTTGTAATGTGTTATAAATTGACCATCCTATGTAAATACCTGACCTCAAATGTAAAATAATGCTCAGTTGCAATAAAATTGGGGACTTAATTTAACTATTAGCAAGTTCAAGTACGGTTGGAGGCGCTGCGAAACGTCAAATTACTCGTTGTCGAGTGACAGTTGAGACTTGTCAGACTTGTTTATTTATAGGAAATGATGACATTTATAACATAAAACAATACTTACACACTTTTCAATCTGTTTCGATTTCTTTAAAAGCTAGCAAACAAAACAATTCAAATTAGTCAAATCAAAGTCAATAAGTTCAATAAGTCAAATAAGTTAAGCAGTAATTTGACACTTGTTTTGTTGACTTGGTGTTTACATCTGATTGTGATTTGTAATTGTCTAATCAACTTTTGCAAGCTTTTAAGAAATAGAAACAGGTCGAAGAGTGGGTAAGTATTGTTTTATGTTATAAATGTCATGAACTCCAATGAATAAACAAGTCTGACAAGTCTTAACTCTCACTCTACAACGAGTAATTTGACGTTTCACAGCGCCACCATCGGTAGTTAAACTCGCTAATTCACAATCAGGCGCGTTATTTTCATGCGTCTACGTGAGCCCTCCCGGGGAAGTTGTGTATTGCCTATTGCGTAAAATTGGTGTAAAGCAGACGTAAACACCAATGTGACATAAATGTCAACAAAACAAATGTCAAATTACTACTCAAGTTGTATTGCAAATTGGCGTCATTCCTTTTAAGGGGTGAAAGAGGCTCACTTGGGGGAGTACGAGAAAATAATTAAAAAATTTTTTTAGAACATTTCTAGAAGATATTAAAATTTTTTACAAATTTCTTTTTGGGTATTTCGCCTCAAAAATTTTTGTCTTAAAAAAAAGACAGAATTTCCTCACGTCTTTTATTACAGATTGATAAATTGTGCTTCTATTTCGCAATAAAAACGAATTATCAGACTATGAAGGCTTTCACGGCCGGTCAAATTACATTTAAGAATGTTTTCCGGGCTTTGAAGCCGTGGTCTATCGGAATTTCTTCCTAATTCAGGAGGG